GTGGTGGCTGTTTGGAGCCAGAACTGCACAGATCCACTACTCTATTCCCGAGGAGCTAGAGAAGGGTTCCTTCATCAGCAACGTCATCAAGGACTTGAAACTGGAGCCCCAAGAGCTCATGGAGAGTGGAGTCTGCATCATCTCCAGGAGTAGGACGCAGCCTTTCTCTCTGAACCCGTGAAGCGGCAGCTTGGTCACCCAMCSCRGGCAGGATAGACCAGGAGGAGCTCTGCACTCAGCGTGTGTGGTGTCTAATAAATTTTAACATTCTTAACAAAGATAAGAATCCCGTGGAAGTGGAAAGAGTGGACATTAATGACAATGCTCCCCAATTCTTAAGGGAAGACTTGGAAGTGAAAAATTCTCGAAAACGAAGTTCCGTCTTCTCGCTTTTGACTAATGGAGGTCTATGATCCTGATGTGGGAATAAACTCACTTCAGAACTTCAAGCAGTAACAGATACTTTTCAGTGGATGTGAAAAACCAAGCCCATGGGCCCAAGTACCCAGAGCTGGTGCTGGAGTGTGCCCTGGACTCCAAGAGAGAAGCCATTCACCACCTGAACCTTACTGCCATGGATGGTGGTAACCCTGTCTGTTCAGGTATGGCATGAATTGTGTTAACTGTTCTAGATGTGAATGACAATGCTCCAGTGTTTACTCAGCCCATCTACCCACGAGTGTTCCTGAATGTCTGCCTTTAGGCACACCAGTGTTGTCCGTAAATGCCACAGACCAGGATAAAGGAATCCATGCCCAAATTACATATTCCTTTGTGAAGATCACAGAGAAGATCACACAGATTTTCTGCTTGAATGTTTTAACTGAAGAAATTTCAACTTCTACAACTCTAGACTATGAGGACTCTAGCTTTTATAAGCTGGATGTTGAAGCCAGGGATCAGTCAGGTCTTCAAGACCAAGCAAAAGTCTTAATGACCATCTTGGATKTGAATGATAATGTACCAGAAGTGGTTGTTATGTCTGAAAGCAGTCACTGAAAATGTACCTCCAGGAATGGTAATTACTCTTTTTCAAGTGTATGATCAAGATTCTGGACTGAATGGCTTGGTAACATGTTCCATTGTACAAAGTCTCCCTTTTGACTTGGAAAAATCAGTAGATGATTATTATGGATTGTGACAAGTGCAGTTCTAGACTAGGAACAGGTGTCCTTGTACAACATCMCTGTGATAGCTACAGACAAAGGAATACTGCCTCTGTCTACAGAAAAGCTCATTCCTTTACATGTGGTAGAGACTAATGACAACTCACCCATTTTCTCCCATTCATCCTACTCTATGTCACTGAGATGCTTCCAGTCCCAGAGGTGCTTCCATCTTCTCTGTGAATGCACTGGAACCTGACAGTGAAGAGAATGCCCAAGTTACTTACTCTCTAGCTGAGGATATACTCCAAGGGGCACCTCTGTCTTCCTACCTCTCCATCAACTCCTATACTGGTGTCCTGTATGCACTGTGCTCCTCTGACTATGAACAGTCTAGAGACATCCAGGTACTGGTGATAGCCAGTAACAATGGGAACCCGTCACTTGGCAATGCAATCACTGAGCCTGCTGGTCCTGGATCAGAATGACAATGTGCCTGAGATCTTGTACCCTCCCCTCCCCACTGACGGCTCCACTGGGGTAGAGCTGGCTCCCTGCTCCGCAAAGCCTGGTTATCTAATGGTGACAGTGGACAGAGATTCAGGTCAGCATTCCTGGCTGTCCTACTGCCTGCTCAAGGCCAGTGAGCCAGGGCTATTCTCAGTGGAACTACACACAGGTGAGGTGCAAACAGCAAGGTCCCAGCTAGACAGAGAATCACTCAAGCAGAGTCTTGTGGTGGCAATCCAGGACCACAGCCAGCCGCCTCTTTCAGCCACAGTCACACTCATGGTGGTGGTGGCCAACAGCATCCCTGATGTTCTGGCTAATCTGAGCCATTTCAATCCCCCCCCCCATGACTCTGATGCCTCAGACCTCACACTCTACCTAGTAATGGCGGTGGCTACTGTTTCCTGCATTTTCTTTGCCTTTATTATGSTGTTGCTGATGCTTAGACTGCAAAGCTGGCACAAATCAAGCTTTCTGAAGTCTGCAAATGGGAGTTTGCCAAGTGTGCCCACCTCACACTTTGTGGGTATGAATGGGATGCAGGCTTTCCTGCAGACATATTCCGATGAGGTCTTGCTCACCTTGGAYTCAAGAAGCCACGTCATCTTCCCCCAGCCCAACTATGCTCACATGCTTGTCAGCCAGGAGGGTTGTGAGAAAAATGAGCTTCTTTTGATATAGGAAGATTCAGGGTTTTGTAAAGAGGAAGACTCCCTTGTTCAGATGAGGTTATATTTTTTTATTTAAAAAAAAGAAAATTTTAAAATTCTTTGATCCATGCTAAGTTTTCCTAGTTTTTTGCAGCAAACCATGTAATTCTGGTTTTTTCTTTTATATAAATCAACCTCTTTTTAATCTTGKTTTTTTTTAAAATTTGACTCTAAAAACAATTTAGTTTATTTTTTAACCTTTCTTTTATACRAAAGCTTTGATTTTGTACATCTCACATCTTAGACATTTGTGAAATCCTTTCTTTTTCTAATATTAAAAAAAACTGAATTATTGCCTCTGTTAAATAAGACTAAGATTTAGTAGCCAGGAGCAGTGGAGCACACCTATAATTCTAGTAACTCAGGAGGCTGAGGCAGGAAGATCACAAGTTCAAGACCAGCTTCGGCAACTTACCAAAGGTCTAAGCAACTTAGTGAGACCCTGTCACAAAATAAAAGATAAAAAGGACTGGGGATGTATCTCAGTGGTAAAGTGTCCCAGGTTCAATTCCCAGTATCCCCACCAAAAAAAGGTCTTTGTATTTCCTCATGCTACTAAATAATTGTAAATAAACATTGGGGGTCTGAGTGTATAGTATATAGATTAACCTACCTTGCAGAAAGCCCTGGGTCCAAATTCTACCACTGCAACACACACACACACACACACACACACACACACACACTACACATTGAATTGATCTTCTAAATAAGATGATAAAAGTAATACATCTTTTTATGAATCAATAGTGATATTTGCATTTCTGCAATTATTATACAATTGTTTATTTCAAGTTTCCAATTGTATATGGCTAACCAAGAGATTCCATACATTTTCAAATATGATTTGTTTAGACATTTGTGATATGATCCCTTGATGTGTTTTATCAAAATTTAAGAGTAAAGCTGGCCAGGTGTGGTGGCCTACACCTGTAATCCCAGTGGCTTGGGAGGTTGAATCAGGAGGATCATGAGTTCAAAGCCAGCCTCAGCAACTTAAAGAGGCAATTGTAAGACCCTGTCTCTAGATAAAATATTAAAAAGGGCTGGGGATGTGGCTCAGTGGTTAAACCCATCAGAGTTCAATCCCTGGTGCCAAAAAAATATTAAGAGTAAATTATAATTTTAAACAAATGGAATCTTGGGCATTAGTCATGTGATTCAGATGGTCTCATACAAATATGATGATTTATTTGTTTTTTTTTTTTACACTTTGAGAATATGAATGGTGTTTTACTGTATCACCAGTTTTGGGTGATTTTACTGCATCTTGAATATCTGTCATTATAGGTAACTGGGTTTCATGGATAGTAGACTGGTTTATTTTATTCTTTTACCTGAGTTACCTGTTATCATTTTATTTAAACAAAACATTTGACTAATCAAAAAAAAATAGATCCTACTCTCACAATAGTCATTCATTCATGTAGTCGGTCAGTCATGATACATATATAAAGTGACCACTTGATAAATGTTTGGGAATCATGAAATTTGCTAAGTAAGACTCTTTGAACTACCAAATAAATCATCAATACTAAGACTGTCAGAGATTTTGAGCATATATTGAATTTTCAAGCATGGGGGGATGTGTCTATCAAATTATTGATCACTTTTATCATCTGTGAAAAACATTCCAGTCTGATCAAACTTATGTTGAGATGATATTTTTTTTTAAGTAAGGAAGTAAAACTCAGTAGGAATCATGAGAAAATACAACTTTGCTTGGCAATAAACTAATCAGAATTCTAACTAAATAAATGGTTCTTCAATAGAAAAAAACTCATAAAGGAAAGAAGATAATTAATTCAATGTCTGGAAAATCAAGTAGACTTTCCATTGAAATTTTAAATGCAAGTTTAAAAAAAGCAAATGTCAGAATGCTTCTCAATAGCTATCTATAACGTACTAACTTTAAAACTATAAAATCATTTTGATTTGATCTATTGAGCTTATGTTACATTTTATTAAACATATTTTGATTGTCTAGGATTGTCTAGTAGAGATCTTTAATATTTAATTTTATGTTGTGGAATACCTTAGRAAACTTGAATACTGGAGATAATGAAGTCATTTTTAGGAAATATATATATACATATATATACATTTATAGGTATATATGAATATGCACACATATATACACATATATCAAACGTTTACTTTTTTAGCTGCAATGACTGATTTTTCTCTACGTTCCATAAAGTGTGAGTGCCTAAAAAGTAACTTCAAAGCTGCAACACAAAAGAGTCAAAAAATTATATGAGATTAATAAATACCCATCCATAAACATTATTGCATTAATCAGTGTCTTAAAATGAATTTTTAAAGTATATCAGAGATATTAGGAGTGAAGAAACAATAGGGATATTTTTGAGGGGTGAAACTATTTTCTGTAAAACCAGTTTATTTTGCTTCAATATGATGCAATAACTTAGTAAGGACTCTGAGCGCCGCTGTTCACCAACCAGGGGAAAATGGTGTGATGAAATCCGACAGGAACCACCGAGTTTACAGCACATACAAAAAAAATCCTGCAGTTTCAGACAAGCCCTCTTTCAAGCTGCGCCATGGTCAAGCCTCTGTACAGCTGAGTTCTGGGTCTCCCTTCCGAATACAGAGGAGTCCACGCAGAAACATCTGCATTCAGCAGGACGTCCCGAGACTGCTCAGGACCACAATGGCGGCTCGGCAGAGGGGCGAGAACTACAGAGGATTCGTCCTCCTTTCCATATTCCTGGGGACCTGGTGGGAAGCCTGGGCAGGACAAATTCTCTACTCCGTGACAGAAGAGACAGACGAAGGGTCTTTTGTGGGTCATATAGCAAAGGACCTGGGTCTGGAACCCCAGGAGCTGGCGGGGCGCGGAGTCCGCATCGTCTCCAGAGGTAGGACGCAGCTTTTCTCTTTGAACCCGCGAAGCGGCAGCTTGGTCACCGCAGGCAGGATAGACCGGGAGGAGCTCTGCGCCCAGAGCGCGCGGTGTCTGGTGAGTTTTAACATCCTTGTTGAGGATGAAATGAAACTTTACCCTATAGAAGTGGAAATATTGGATGTTAATGACAATGCTCCTAGATTCTTGATGGAAGGAATAAACGTAAAAATAATGGAGAATACAGTTCCTGGGATGCGGTTTCCGCTAAATGAGGCTGGAGATCCAGATGTGGGCACGAACTCCCTCCAGAAATACCAGCTCAGCCCCAATCGCCACTTCTCCCTGGTTGTGCAAAATGGAGACGATGGAAAWAAATACCCAGAATTGGTGCTGGAGCAGGTGCTGGACAGAGAGGAAGAAATGACTCACCACCTGGTCCTCACAGCTTATGATGGTGGAGATCCACCCTTATCTGGCATCCTGAATATCCAAGTGACAGTAGTGGATGTGAATGATCACACACCAGTCTTCTCTCTACCCCAGTACCAAGTGGCTGTACCTGAGAACGTACCAGTGGGCACAAGACTTCTCACAGTAAATGCAATTGACCCAGATGAGGGAGTCAACGGGGAAGTGACATATTCTTTTCGAAAAATAACTCCAAAACTTCTACAGATATTCCATCTGAACTCCCTTACAGGAGAATTATCAACTTTAGAAAGCCTGGATTATGAAGAATCTAGCTTCTATGAAATTGAAGTTCAGGCTCAGGATGGTCCTGGTAGTCTGACAAAAGCTAAAGTATTAATCACAATTTTAGATGTAAATGACAATGCTCCCGAAGTGACTTTGATGTCCATAAGCAACTCAATTCCTGAGGACACACCTCCTGGGACAGTAATTGCTCTTTTCTACCTCCAAGACAGAGATTCTGGAAAGAATGGAGARGTGACTTGCACTCTTCCAGAAAATCTGCCTTTTAAGTTAGAAATATCAATAGATAATTATTATAGATTGGTCACAGCAGAAAACCTGGACCGGGAAAAACTCTCTTTGTACAACATCACACTGAAAGCCATAGATGGTGGGATTCCTCCTCTGTCCACAGAAACACACATCTCCATACATGTGGCAGACACCAATGACAACCCACCTACATTCTCTCACTCCTCTTACTCCATCTACATCCCTGAGAATAACCCCAGAGGTGCCTCCATCTTCTCAGTGACTGCACACGACCCCGATAGCGACAAGAACGCCCAGGTCACTTATTCCTTGGATGAGGACGCCACCCAGGAGACATCAGTGTCCTCCTACATCTCCATCAACTCTGACACTGGTGTCCTGTATGCACTTCAATCCTTTGACTATGAGCAGTTTCGCAACCTACAACTGAGAGTGACTGCACATGACAGTGGGGACCCACCTCTCAGCAGCAAGGTTTCATTGAACCTGTTTGTCCTGGACCAGAATGACAATGTGCCGGAGATTCTGTATCCCACTCTCCCCACAGATTGGTCCACTGGGGTGGAGTTGGCTCCCCGCTCTGCAGAGCCTGGTTATCTAGTGACCAAGGTGGTGGCAGTGGACAAAGATTCAGGCCAGAATGCTTGGCTGTCCTACCGCCTGCTCAAGGCCAGTGATCCAGGGCTTTTCTCTGTGGGGCTGCATACTGGTGAGGTACGCACAGCACGTRCCCTTCTGGACAGAGACACACTCAGACAGAGCCTGGTTGTGGCTGTCCAGGACCATGGTCAACCACCTCTCTCAGCCACTGTCACATTCACTGTGGCTGTGGCTGACAGCATACCAGATGTCCTGTCCGAATTTAGCAGCAATGGGACGCTTATGGACCCCAGTGATTCAGATCTTACACTCTACTTGGTGGTGGCAGTGGCCACTGTCTCCTGTGTTTTCCTTGTCTTTGTTATTGTGCTGCTTTTACTCAGACTGCAGCGCTGGCACAAGTCACGCTTGCTCCAGGGCACAGGTGGTGGGTTGGAGGATTTGCCTGCCTCACACTTCATGGGCATGGATGGGGTGCGCACTTTCCTGCAGACCTATTCCCATGAGATCTCCCTCACATCAGATTCTCGGAAGAGCCACATTATCTTTCCCCAGCCCAATTAYGTGGACACACTCATCAGCCAGGAAAGCTGTGAGAAAAATGATTCTTTGTTAACATCCATAGATTTTCATGAATGTCAGAGTGAAGTACCAAGGAATCAGGTGAGTTCAGTTCTTCCTTTATCTTTATTTCTATGACCATTATGTTTTCCAAGAAATGTTCCTATTATTTGTAAAACAAGTATTTTGAAGATAAGGGTTAAGAAAKCTTGAAAGAGGTAAAAAGTTTACTGGTTTATTTAATTGTTGATAATTTAATATAGAACACATAGGTTATGGTACCTAATTTGAAAGGTAGTGAAAGCCTTTTGTATAAGATTATGAATAAGTAAGCTGTTGTATTTTTACCTTTCACTTATTTTCCACTTGGTTTTCTTGCAAGCATATTTAATTTTTTTCAGTGCTGGGAATTAAACTTGCCTCGCTCATGTTAGGCAAGTGCTGCACTACTGAGTTACATCCCCAGCCCCACCACTTGTTTTTCTTTTTTCTTTTCTTGTTTCTTTAGTAATTAAATTTGTTTATTGGTTCTTTGTAGTTATACCTGAAAGCAGATCCATTTTTATATGATTATGCAAGCATGGAATATATTGTATTCTAGTTAGAATCCAATTTGTATGGATGTCCACTGTGTTGTTTTCATATATGTACATGRGAAAATAATGTCAGACTCATTCTACTGTATTTCTTTTTCCTATCCCCCTCCATGCCTTCTGTCTCCCACTGTGTAATCTACTGAACTTCTGTTCATCCCCTCACTCCTTTATTATTGTGGGTTAGCTTCTACATATCAAAGAAAACATTCAACCTTTGGGTTTTTTTGGAGATTGGCTTACTTTACTTAGCATTATAGTTTCCAGATCCATYGATTTTCTGGCAAATGTCATAAATCATCTTTCTTTATGGTTGAATAATAATCCATTGTGCATACATACCACAATTTATTCATTCATCTGTTGAAGGGCACCTAGGTTGATTCCATAGCTTAGCTATTATGAATTGAGTTGCTATTAACATTGATGTGATTACATCACTGTAGTATGCTGATTTTAAATCCTTTGAAAATATATATATATATATATATATATATATATATATATATATATATGGGATAACTGGGTCAAATGATGGTTCCATTCCATGTTTTCTGAGGAATCTCTATACTGTTTTCCAGAGTGGTTGCACCAATATGCAGTACCACCAGCTTCTTAACTCATGTGTTTTATAAAAGAGAATGAATTATTGAGTCTTTCTCTGTGTGSTAGGTTAGGAAGAGCAAAACATACTTCAGCTGCCTTCTCAGGATTCTCTTTATGATTTGAGTCTCTAAAAGGTTCTTAAGGATTTTCCAGTCTGAAMCTTTTTTCTGTGTTCTGCTTCCACTTCCATGTACCTTAGCTTGGTGGCCTTAAAAATTGTGATGGCTTCCTTATCTATTTTAAAGTATCTAAGAAAGTTGGGATGCTACTAGAAAGTGAGATTGACACTTAAAGAATAAAATGTGTCAACTTTCATTAACAGCTGTATAAAAGACACAGTATCTAATGCCATACTAAAGGTCATTGGACAAAACCAATAAAATGTCAAACAAAATATTTCAATTTGTAACTGGCATTTAAGAAATAGGCAGTTGCATGATTTAACATAGAATTCCAAGGTACCATTTTAGTGATATGTCCATGTGGAGTATTCTGAAGGCTCCACAAGTGGAGAAGCTGGCTCTACAAAACAACCATCTCTTGCACTCAAACTCTAGAACAGTAGTCATTTTTATTTATTGGGTATGCTGAAAATTTCAACTAGAAACAACCCAATCTGGGACTACTTCAATATTCTTTTGTATAGCGTTTTCATGAAGTTTAATACTTCAGATGATGATCATCTGTAAGAAGTGGATAATAAGATAATCTCAATTCCTGGGATCTTTCCAGTGTTAATTTAAAGGATATTTTTCCAGTGCTGTATTTGGTAGCATTTTCCATATAAGAAACAGTGCAATAGCATGAGAGATATTTCACTCACTCTTCAGGGTTCAGATGTGCAATCACTTTACAAAGGAACACTACTGATATTGTGTWAGAAAATGTCATCTGGCAGAAATATGATTATCATGCCAGATAAAGAAAATTTCCTGATCAAAATTAGTTAGATGCTTTAAAATTATTTTTTAAATGAAGGAGAGAAATCATCACTAAATTAACGGAGCTATTGCAAGCAAACTTTCCAGGGATGTAGAAATTCTGAGATCATCATCAGGTATAAAATAAGTTCGGAATGGAGACCAGTGTTAGAGTACAATAGACCTCAGTGATTTCATGTTGCAAGGCAAAATATTATTTCTGAGGCCTGGGGATGTATCTCAATGGTAGAGGGCTTACCTAGCACACATGAGGCCCTGGGTCAATTCTCAGTGTCACAAAAACACATATATATTATTTCCTTGGTGTCTTTGAATATTGACATTATATTTTGTGACCCAGAGAGTGATTGCAGAATAGAAAAGGAATAGGCTAACAATCAGACAAACTCATTTCCTTTCCTGAGAGAGTGGAAATGAGAATCAGGTAATATTTCTAAAAGGAAATCATTGAAACTCTTTTAGATAAAGAGATGCATTTGGAGATAAGTACGAATTGCATCTTCTTTAAAACAAATCCCAGCATTATTAATGTTCTTTGGAGAAAAAAAAAACAAATTAACCATCTTGAAGAGAGTAGAAAAGTGGATTGAAACCTTAGAAGCAAAAAAGGGGGACATTATCCACTATATTACAAATGGCTAAGTATGTAAAACAACTGTACTCTATCATGGCTTATGCCAAGTTTGTTGCAGTCATCTTTGTATCACTAAATATATATTTGAGTGTTATGGAATGGTTAGAGCCACAGAAAAAATATTTATGTACTAAATCTACGTGATTTTCCTAAAACCCTGAAAAGATGAGATAAAGCGTGTTTGAAATTATGGTTTAAAACATTATTAAATATATACACGAACCTACATAGTTTCAGTTAGACACAATGCTCCTACACAATGGTTAAACTGGAACAGCACAGGCTGCAGTTTCGTCCTGTGGACTCTGGGCGCCGCTGTTGTCCAAAGAGGAGAGCTTGGAGCTCACCATCTCCTCGCGCAACCGCAGCGCGCTTTCCAGAGCAGCAATATGTGACTCTTCAGTCCAGCCATTACACCGCTACTTCCTACGGAAAAGAAGAGTATTTTTTCCTGGACTGGATCTGGAACTAAGAGTCCTTTCGGAGCTCCGAATATCTGCAATACGGAGATCATTCGTACTCCAGAGTCTCCTGACTGGTGAGCAAGCAGAGGGGAGCAAGAGGGATGGGGAGCGGCGCTGCGGAGAGGGGCCAGACTCACAGGCTGCCAGTGCTCCTTCCCTTCCTACTGTCTTTGTTCTGCCGGGCGCTCTCTGAGCAGATCCGCTACAGGATTCCCGAGGAAATGCCCTTGGGCTCGGTAGTGGGGAACCTCGCCAAGGACCTAGGGTTCCGTGTCCTGGAGTTACCGACTCGAAAACTGCGTATCAGTTCGGAGAAGTCTTACTTCACTGTGAGCTCAGAGACAGGGGAACTGCTTGTGAGCGGCAGGCTAGACAGGGAGCAGATATGCGGGAGGCAGCCAATTTGTGCTCTGGAATTTGAGGCTGTTGCTGAAAATCCACTGAACTTTTACCACGTGAGCGTGGAGATTGAGGACATTAATGATCACGCGCCAAAATTTGCGCACGTTTTCTTTGATCTGCAAATAAGTGAGTCTGYTCAGCCAGGCACACGATTTRTATTAGGRTCTGCCCAYGATGCAGACATAGGTACCAATGCACTACAGAATTACCAACTTAGTCCCAATGAWTATTTCTCACTCGTGAGTAAAGAGAAATCAGATGGCAGTAAATAYCCGGAGATGGTATTGAAGACACCTTTAGACCGGGAAAAGCAGAAATCCTACCACTTGACATTGACTGCTTTGGACTTCGGGGAGCCACCTCTCAGCAGCACTGCACAGATACAAGTCCTAGTGACTGATGCCAATGATAACCCTCCAGTGTTCAGCCAAGAGATATATAGGGTGAGCCTCCCAGAAAACGTACGCCCAGGAACCACTGTGCTTCAGGTGACTGCTACCGACCAGGATGAAGGTGTCAATGCCGAAATCACTTTCTCTTTCAGCGAAGCTGGCCTGAGACCTGAGTTTGACCTGAATTCTAATACTGGGGARATTATTATTCTAAATACATTAGATTTTGAAGAGATCAAAGAATATTCTTTTGTTTTGGAAGCRAAGGATGGTGGAGGAATGATTGCACAATGTACAGTGGAGATAGAAGTCCTAGATGAAAATGACAATGTCCCAGAAGTGATATTCCAATCTCTACCCAACCTAATTATGGAGGACTCTGAGCTAGGTACACTAGTTGCTTTGCTTAAAATCCGTGACAAGGATTCTGGTCACAATGGAGAAGTTATTTGTAAATTAGAAGGKGATACTCCATTTAAAATACTAACTTCTTCAAGAAATACATATAAGTTAGTGACGGAAAGGGTTCTAGACCGCGAGAAGAACCCAGAGTACAACATAACCATCACAGCCACTGACCGGGGTAAGCCGCCTCTCTCTTCCAGCTCTAGTGTCACCCTACACATTGGTGATGTAAACGACAACGCTCCAGTTTTCCAACAGGCCTCTTATGTAGTGTATGTAGCAGAAAACAATCCTCCTGGAGCCTCCATCGCTCAAGTTAGCGCCTCCGACCCAGACCTGGGGCCCAACGGCCAAGTCTCCTACTCCATCGCGGCCAGCGACTTGGAGCCTCGGGCATTGTTATCCTACGTGTCTGTGAGCGAACAGAGCGGCRTGGTGTTCGCGCAGCGAGCCTTCGACCACGAGCAGCTGCGTTCCTTTGAGCTGATTCTGCAGGCTAGTGACCATGGTTCGCCCGCGCTCAGCGCCAACGTGAGCCTGCGCGTGTTGGTAGGCGACCGCAACGACAACGCGCCGCGGGTGCTCTA